AGCGGAGGCAGGGCCTACAGCCCATCCATCCCGTCCTCAGCATGATCCTAGCATAACTTCACCATGGGTTCTTTCCGCCCTCTGCATAAAGACAGACCAGGGCATGGCAGGAGAGAAAGAGTTCGATAGACATGAGGCCGGTCATGCCACGTGGGAGATGGAGTTCATACTCAAACCATCCAAGGCTCACAGGTTAGGTTTTCAAAGGCAGTTTGGAGGAAGTAAAATCAAAGGCAACTTGGAAGGGGTGGGGGTCCGCAGGTTACAGATGCTTGCTACTGATTAGTTGGGGCACAGGTGAAATCCTAGGCCTCCTGGGGGCCGATTCACTCCTAAGTGGGGACACAGGAGTGGGGCTGTTGGTCCAGGTGCAGCCAAGGGTGTCAGACATGCAAAAAAAAAAAAAAAAAAAAAAAAATCCTGGAAAGGTATCTCAAAAGACCAACTGGGGAAGCTGTTTATCTTCCAACCTCTGGAATGTCAACGCCTTAGCAGGATTCCGGTTCTTCCCCCTGCCTCAGCCTGATGGGCTCCTATTAGCTTTACAAAAGCAGTCGAGTTCAGAGTAAAGCCTATGGTCATTTAAACTGTAGCCTAAATGTCTTCAAAAATTAGCTTGGCCCAACAGCCCAGGATTAATGGAGGGTGAGTTAGCTTAGCTTACTGTTTGCATTTTCCCACTGACAGACAGAACTTCCGCGCAGGCGGCTTCACTAACAGGGGGACAAAGGGCCTGGCCTTCCTTGTTGCTGGGGCTGTGGCAGCTGACACCAGGGTGCTCACGGGGCGTCCAGGGGTCCAAGGCCTGTGGGGTTCCACACGGGCTTGAATGCTGCTCTGCAGACACTCCAGGCTGCCTCCAGCTTGCTCTGGAAGCTCAGGGGGCCCGGGGGGCTCTTCTCTGCCCGGGATTGCAAAAGACTGTGTCAGAAGTGTGGGTCCCTGGCCGGGCATGGTGGCTCACGTCTGTAATCCCAGCACTTTAGGAGGCCACGGCGGGTGGATCACCTGAGGTCAGGAGTTCAAGACCAACATGGAGAAACCCCCTCTACTAAAAATACAAAAAAAAAAATTAGCCGGGCATGGTGGCGAGCGCCTGTAATCTCCGCTACCTGGGAGACTGAGGCAGGAGAATCGCTTGAACCCGGGTAGCAGAGGCTGCTGTGAGCCGAGATCACACCAAAGGAAAAAAAGAAAAAGAAATGTGGGAACCCCAGGGGCTCTCACTCTCACCCTTTCTCTGCATCAGGGAGCTTCCCCCGCTCCGCTCCAATCCCAGGAGGGCAGCTGCCCAGTCTCGCCTGTTCTCCAAGTCCCACCACAGCCCTGGTGAATCCCAGTGTGGGGTCCTGGTCTGTGCCCTTGAAGACCGGGCAGTTACCCTGTTTCCTCTCCATGAGAGCAGCATACGCTAGCTGCGTCCATCAGCCATCATGAACTGCAACCCACAGTCACATCTGTTAATAGTAAAATATTTTCATACTTTATTATTTATTTGTATATTTTATATTGATCATGTTAATATTTTATTTTTATATTGATTATATATTAATGCTTTCTGTTGATTAATGTTAACATTTTGGGTATTAGAATTTAGGTATTTTGGGTTAGAATTTCAAGTTATTTTTGCTTTTTTTTTTTCCGAGACTCTGTCTCACTCTGTCACCCAGGCTGGAGTGCAGTGGCGTGATCTCGGCTCACTGCAAGCTCTGCCTTCCGGGTTCACGCCATTCTCCCGCCTCAGCCTCTGGAGTAACTGGGGCTACAGGCGCCTGCCACCACACCTGGCTAATTTTGTTTTTGTATTTTAGTTTCACCGCACCCAGCCTATCTTTGCTTTTTTAATGTGGCTACTAGAAATATTGAAATTACATACTTGGCCAGGCGCGGTGGCTCAGGCCTCTAATCCCAGCACTTTGGGAAGCTGAGGAGGGTGGGTTGCCAGAGGTCAGGAGTTTGAGACCAGCCTGGCCAACATGTTGAAACTAAAAAATACAAAAATTGCCGGGCGTGGTGGTGCATGCCTGTAATTCCAGCTATTCGGGAGGCTGAGTCAAAAGACTCCTCTGAGCCCATGAGGCAGAGGTTGCAATGAGCCAAGATTGCGCCACTGCATTCCAGCCTGAGCAAGGCTTGCTCTGGGCAAGAGCAAGACTGTCTCAAAAAAAAAAAAAAAGAAAAAAAAGAAATTACATACTTGATTCTGATCGTATTTGTTTGAACAGCACCAGTTCTAGATAAAAATGTGGCAGTATTTTTCCAAATCTTTTATTTTGAGACAGTCTCACTCTGTCGCCCAAGCTGGAGTACAGTGGTACAATCTTGGCTCAGTGCAACCTCTACCTCCTGGGTTTAAGCGATAATCCTGTCTCAGCCTCCTGAGTAGCTGGGATTACAGGCATGCACCACCATGCCCAACTAATTTATGTGATTTTAGTAGAGATGAATTTTCGCCATGTTGGCCAGGCTGGTCTGGGACTCCAGACTTCAGGTGATCTGCCTGCCTCGGCCTCCAGTGCTGGAATTACAGACGTAAGCCACCATGCCAGGCCAAAAATCTCCTCCTGTCTATTCCTTTGAGTCAACATTTCCACTTATTACACTTTTTTTTTTTTTGAGATGGATTCTAGCTCTGTCACCCAGGCTGGAGTGCAGTGGTGCAATCTCAGCTCGCTGCAGCTCAACCTTCACCTCCTGGGTTCAAGCAATTCTCTGCCTCAGCCTCCCGAGTAGCTGGGATTACAGGCGCTTGCCATCCTGCCAGACTAATTTTTGTATTTTTAGTACAGACGGGGTTTCACCATCTTAGCCAGGCTGGTCTTGCACTCCTGACCTCCTGATCCACCCACCTTGGTCTCCCAAAGTGCTGGGATTACTGGCGTGAGCCACTGCGCCCAGCCACACCATTTTTATAGCATTAATTTAACTTTCTTCCATGACACAGATACATGGACATTGTCATTTACTCAAGGAACTTCCTGTTATATCCTCAGGATCTCCTTTGTAAAAATTACATTGATCACTGACTTTCTGTGCAGTATGTGGCAAAACCCATGAGGATATTGGAGGAACAATCTACCTTCTCTCTTTTGCCAGACTGGACTCACAGTTATTCAGCTATAATGTAGCGAATGAACTAGACAACTGAAACTTTAAATAAGGACACAAAATGAGAGAGTAAGTGTTTTGACAAAAGTCTCAGGTGAAATCAGGCCAGCTGCCTGCAGGCAGGGACCTTAATGGCAAGACACATCCTGAGTAAACAGGTGGAATGTCGTTGTGCTTCAAGCCATGCCGGGAAACAGAGGAGAAGCCGAGGACAGGAAAGACTGAGGGCATCTGTGGAATTTGCAATTTTACTCAGGATGTCAGGTTAAGTCTTGCTGAGAATGTGACTTTCAGTAAAGATCAGATACAAGTCTCTTAAAAGATGCCAGAGAAAATCTGTTTAAAGTAAACATGATGGCCCGGCACGCTGGCTCACGCCTGGAATCTCAGCACTTTGGGAGGCGGAGGCAGGAGAATGGCTTGAGCTCAGGAGTTTGAGACCAGCCTGGGCAACATGGTGAAACTCCATCTCTACTATAAATACAAAAATTACCCTGGTGCGGTGGTGCATGCCTGTATTCCCAGCTACTCGGGAGGCTGAGGCAGGAGGATCACTTGAACCCAGGAGGCGGAGATTGCAGTGGGCCAAGATCACACCACTGCACCCCAGCCTGGATGACAGAGCGAGACTGTCTCAAAAAGAAAAAAAATAATAATAATAATAAAGTTACTTTGTTAAGCTGGGCATAATGAGGTGCCTGTATTCCCAGCTACTCGGGAGGCTGAGGCAGGAGGATCACTTGAGGCCAGGAGTTCCAGACCACACCCGGCTATTTTTTTTTTTTTTTTTGAGATGAGTTTCATTTTTGTTGCCCAAGCTGGAGTGCAATGGCACAATCTCAGCTCACTGCAACCTTCGCTTCTGGGTTCAAGCAATTCTCCTGCCTCAGCCTCCCAAGTAGCTGGGATTACAGGCACCTGCCACTGCACCCCAGCTAATTGTCTGTATCTTTAGTAGAGACGGGGTTTCCCCACGTTGGCCAGGCCTGACCTCAGATGGTCCACCCACCCTGGCCTCCTAAAGTGCTGGGATTACAGGCATGAGCCACCACACTTGGCCATTTTCAATGTTTTCACCACAAAAAAAATGGTATGTAAGGTAATGAATATATTAATCAAACTGATTTAGCAATTCCACAATGTATACATATTTCCAAGTATCATGTACAGCATAAACATAGACAATTTTAATACATACAATATATGCAATTGTACACCATAAACATACACAATTTTTATTTGTCAATTTTTTTTAAAATGTAAGTTTTTAAAGTTATTTTGGCTAGGCACAGTGGCTCAGGCCTGTAATCTCAGCACTTTGGGAGGCTGAGGCAGGTGGATCACTTGAGATCAGGAGTTCAAGACCAGTTGGCCAACATGGTGAAACCCCGTGTCTACCAATAACAATTAGCCGGGCACAGTGGCACGGGCCTGTAGTCCCAGCTACTCTGGAGGCTGACGCAGGAGAATCACTTGAACCCAGGAGGCGGAGATTGCAGTGGGCCAAGATCACACCACTGCACCCCAGCCTGGGTGACAGAGCGAGACTGTCTCAAAAAGAAAAAATAATAATAATAATAATAAAGTTACTTTGTTAAGCTGGGCATAATGAGGTGCCTGTAGTCCCAGCTACTCGGAAGACTGAGGCAGGAGGATCACTTGAGCCCAGGAGTTCAAGTTCCGCCTGGGCAACAGAGCAAGTCCTCATCTCTCTAACAAACGAACAAACAAAAAACAAAATAAAGTTTTTTAAAAAGGCATTTGCTCACTGGCAATGCACATGGGGCTTTAAATGCATCCCACCTTCACACTCTGCAGAGCTTCACACTCTTCCTTCATGCACAGGACACCTCCAGTGGACTGGCCCATCCCTTTTCTGTGGTTAAACTAGTTCAGCGAGGGACTAGGGATGTTTCCATGAGGAGTCTGGAGCTTGACGCAGGTGGCTGTTGATCGTTCTCCAAGCTGTGTCGGATCCCATATCCAAAATATACAGCAAATCCTAACAGGGAAATGAGACAATGAGAGGAAATGTAGTCACCCCTTCCCTTATAAATGCCCTATAGCGATTATACTGTGGTCTGTTTATTTGGAGGTTTTCTTGTTTCTTTTATTTAGAGATAGAGCTTCGCTCTGTTGCCCAGGCTGGAGTGCAGTGGCATGATCATGGCTCACTGCAGCCTCGATCTCCCGGGTTCAAGCAATCCTCCCACTTCAACCTTCAGAATAGATAATGACTACAGGCGGGTGCCACTGTGCCCGGCTAATTTTTTTTTTTTTTTTTTGAGACAGAATCTTACTCTGTCACCCAGGCTGGAGTGCAGTGGCACAATCTGGGCTCCTGTCACCTGGGCTGGAGTGCAGTGGCACAATCTGGGCTCCTGTCACCTGGGCTGGAGTGCAATGGCATGATCTTGACTCACTGCAACCTCCGCCTCCCAGGTTCAAGTGATTCTCATGTCTCAGCCTCCTAAGTAGGTGGGATTACAGGAACCCGCCACCACACCAGGCTACTTTTTTGTATTTTTAGTAGAGAGGGGGTTTCACCATGTTGGCCAGACTGTTCTTGAACTCCTGATCTTAGGTGATCCACCTGCCTCGGCCCCCTGAAGTGCAGGGATTATAGGCGCGAGCCACTGTGTGCGGCCAGTTTTTAATTTTGGTAGAGATGGAGTCTCGCCATGTTGCCCAGGCTGGTCTGGAGCTCCTGGTCTCAAGCGATGCTCCTGCCTTCATCTCCTGAGTAGCTGGGACTACAGGCACAGCCCACACTGTCAGCCTGAGACAGCTGTAGGGAAAGGTCACGGGAAGAGTGTTGGACACCCAAGAGGCCTCTTTTTTTCCAGGAAGCCACTCACCAATCAACATCCAGACTCCAAATTGGGCCCACGTCTCAGTGGTCATCTGCATCATCAGATAAACATTCACAGAGATGCTGACCAACGGGAGGACAGGCAACAGGGGGACCTGCAGGCAAAGAGTTAACACTGAGCACACCACGAATGTCTACAAGGGACCCTTAGCCCAAGGGGCAGGAAGACCACAGCTCTGTTCCAGTTGCATATTGAATGCCTATTCCTTTTTTTGTGT